CGACCGAGCGACAGCAGCAACATGGTCTGAAAAGGACAGCTGGTCATTGACATTTGACATTTATTCATTTAGCTGACGTGGATAAGACGCATACCTTTGGTGTGAGAGACCATTGTGTCCCTGAGCGAGACACTTAACTCCTAGTTGCTCCAGAGGCATCGACCTCTGACATAAATAGCAATTCTAAGACGCTTTGGATAAAAGCCTCAGCTAAATGAATAAATGTAAATATATCAGTGTTACAACAAATCCACTGTTATACTGTTAACATGTTTAATTGATTATTAAATACATCCTGGATATAAAAAAATGCAACTCTGGCCGGCAGACATAAGAGCAGACAGAAATGAGTGTAGCTCACGCAAATCAGTCGGAGGGGGGTTGTGTTTATTTGTCGACAATCGTTGGGCTACACAATATTGCGTTCGGGAGCAGGTGTGCACACCGAATTATGAAACCATTCTGCCTCCCGCGAGATTTCGGTCAAATTACTATTATTTTCGTGTATGTGCCCGGACCGAATGATGCAGCAGCGGGGGAAAAAATAACAGAGAGTTATAATGATGCACTCGCCCGCTCTGCTGATCAGCCTGTCTTTGTCCTTGGGGACTTTAACTCATGTAACTTGTCTACACATCTGCCCACTGTTCATCAATATGTTGACTGTCCTACACGGTTAAATCGGACCCTTGACCGCTGCTACGGAAATATCTCTGAGACACATATAAAGCAGTGTGTAGACCAAAAAACTTGCCTTAATGAAAGAAACTATGGGGGGAACATCATTAAGGAAAAAATTGAATATAAAAACAAAGTAGAGTAAATTCTTCAGCGGGAATATAAAACTTGGGAGGGCTTAAACATCTTAATGGGAAAAAGTTGCAATAAGGGTGACAGTACTGTAGTTTGCAGTCAAAGTCTTGTAGATGTTCTTCTGTAGGTTTGATGCTGTGGATGATAAGAATGAATGTGATGACATCTGTAGGCTCACCAATATTTATGACAGAAGATCTGTTGTTAAAAGGCTTAATAGAATAAAACCGAATAAGGCCACCGGCCCAGATGGCCTGAAAGCCCGCTTACTTAAAGACTGTGCCCCACAATTAAAAGGTGTCTTTTCAAGGCTTTTTAACTTCCTTCTGGTTGCAGGTGTACCCTCGTCTAGGACATTTTCTTTAGTAAGGCCCATACCTAAAAAGCCTGGTGCATCCAGGCCTGAAGATTTCCGACCTGTAGCTATCACCTCTGAGTGAGAAGCAAAGACTAGCCAACATTAAGATAGATAAGGCCTTGGTTCTCTGGATCAGAGACTTCCTTTCCTGTCGCCCTCAGAGGGTTTGTGTAAATGGCTTTTTGTCAGGAGTGCATACTATCACAAGGCAGCGTTCTTTCCCCTGTGCTTTTTTCTCTATTCACAAATGAATTTTCCATAAATAATAGTACCTTTAAGCTGATAAAATATGCAGATGATATGGCCTTAGTAGGACTCTTACAAAAAACTGACCCCTCTGGTGAGGCCTCTTATTTAGCACATGTAAAGGCCCTTGAAACATGGTGCAAAGATAGCGAGCTAGAAATCAATGTGGCAAAGACAAACGAGCTAAACTTTTGCAATAAAGAAGACGTCAAGTAGTTGAAACTGTGGGAGTATTTAGGCACGGTTCTTGACAAACATCTGAGTTTTATAGATAATACAGATTATATTTTTAAGAAATGTTCTCAACGACTTAATCTCTCCGTCTGGGTGTTAGTGCTCAGATTATTGAACTAGTACACATCACACAAGTGTTTTAACCTTTCATCTATCTGCTTGGTTTGGTCATCTAAATTGCAAGCTTAAGAACAAGATTAACAGGAGAGTGTTAATGGCTAGTAAAATAGTAGGACATCCTCAAAAACATCAGACTCAAATATATTCTGACAGAATGAGAAAGAAGGCTAGAAAAATCACCACAGACAGCACTCACCCTCTTTCTAGCCAGTTTGAGCTTCTTTTTTATTTTATGATATTTTATATCGTTCTTTTTGTTAATTTCCTTTACTCTGCTTGATGTTGTTTGAATGTTCATTTGTATTGCATGTCTTGGTGAGCCAAAGAAAAATTTCCATCTCGGGGGACAATAAAGATTTATTCATTCATTCATGTAGCATTATACAGAATATTTTTTAAATTAGTCCTAAAAACACTATTAAAATGAACAGATGATAAAAAAGAATCATGAAATGACAATTGTTTGTTTTATTGGCAGGAAACATGGGCAACAAATTCCACTCCCTCCTTAAACCACAGCAGCCTTTGCCTGCTTACTGCCAACATCTTATAGCTTAACAAATACAGCTTTCCTGTGGAATAAACTACAAAAACAGAACAAACAGCATAAATTTACTTCAACTATAAAAACTGCAACAAACTACAAACTGTAGCCAAAATATTTAGGAGATAAAGGAGCTCAGGCCTCCTGAGTCGATGATAAAGTAGCTGGTTTTTGTTCTGGAAAACTCAGTTAGGCTCTGTGGGCTTTAGGGGGGAGAGAGGAGCAGAGAGAGGGAGAGGGGGCTACAGAGGAGGCATAACGTCATCAATGAGATTTGAAAGTAACGGAAATTTAAATAAAGTACAATGTTAATTCCATATTATACTGTTAGTATATTGTTAATATTAGCCCACTTATAGTTACTATATTCATTATAATTTCATATGGTTTACCACTAGTATAGGCCTAATATTATTTCAGTGGGTTATTAAATCTATAAATCAAATTGATGTAATCAGATTATTAAATCCTTGTGCAAGAAGCACAGTCCACATCTTTTACAGGCCTATTGCCACCTGCTTTACCAGAGGAGAGAGCAGCAAACACTTTCAATACGGCCAGCAGGTTTTTATTAGATTTTTTTATTAGTAGAGAGAGGAGTGGCTTAATGTTATGCTACATCCACTCTACTATGTTTTTTTAAACCGTTTTATAGCGAATAAGATCTTCTCCCTCCACAGCAGCGTTTTAGCTGCGTATCAGAGTTGATCTCCTTTTATATTAAAACGACTGAAAGCACGCGTGGTCGTTCACTGGGCATGCACAGGCCGGGGTGTAAACATGAAGCAGATGGTCTACTCTGCCGCTGCAGAAAATTTGGCGAAAGAAGAAAGTAATACAGTCGAAGAACCACACAGGTATTCGTTTTTGCATTGACCGTTAACGAAATAGAACTGAAAGTAACGAGAGTAGCCTACAAAGTGAGAAAGCAAAGTAAATACGGCAACACGCACAGTACAAGTGTTATTTACACAGTAGAAAATATCTAAATAAAAATACAAAAAATAAAACTCTGTAGCATCGTGTTTTTGTTTTGCATGACTGATAAGACTGAATCAGTTTTACCCATCAATTTTCATCTGGACGGAGGGGGAAACGTAGCAAAAGGTCTCCGTTTTAAAACGAAAACGGAGACAGAGAGAGGCAGTCAGCTGATTGAGTGGCGCCTCTCTTTTCATCATGAAACTCACACTGAAGGATCAGTCTCTCTCTGCCTGATGCTCTGTGGGTCAAGACAATTAAACTCTGGTAGCGGGCGGCATGTGTGTGAGATAAGCACGACCGCGATAGTTTGAAATGGTCACTCCTGCTTGTTGCTCTGCTTGTCTGATTGTTGCTAAACTCTTTATAAATGATTAACTGGATGCTTCAATAGCTTCCTATCTGAAAAGGAGTTTTAGGGAACCATTTTAGCTGCCGTTGAAAATTTGTCCGGAAAGTATTGCATCATCTGATCGACTTTTGTGATCTGCCTTTTTAGAGACCACTGATCAAACTAGTTAAAGCCATTATCGGCAGATTACGATCGGTGACCGATCGATCGGAGCACACTTATTATTACTACATCTGTGATAAATGAGTGAACATCACATACTACCTCTTTGTTGGAGCTTTTGACCACATCCCATGGCCTTCTTAAAGAGTCACTAAACCCCCAAAGCTCTTATTTCAGCTGATTACCAATCTGCATGAGTATTTAGTAGTGTTATTGATGGATTCAGGTCCAAATCTTGACATTTTTCTGTAAACTATGTGAATTCTACTTACAGTACCATAAAAATTGAAACCTGGCTACTGCAATTTAATTTTGTTGTTGGCTGATAAAACCTCTGGACTACTGCTTTCCAGCTCTTTCCAAATCAAACTTCCTCAGCTGTCATCACATGACGTTAGTCCAGCACAGTCACATGATAACAGGTGGTTGTATTCAGGGCAGAAGGAAACAGCTAGCTCGGCTCTGTGAAAACTGTCACACTGACGCTTTGTGAATGGATTTGTGTCTTGTAAGGTGTCTCCTGTTGGTATAAGATTTGCCACATTGGCCACAACTGTACGGTTTCTCTCCAGTGTGAACTTGTTGGTGGGTTTTTAGGTGAGCTGATTGAGTGAAAGTTTTCCCACACTGTTCACACCAGTATGGTCTCTCTCCAGTGTGAACACGGTGGTGGATTTTTAAGTGATGTGATTTAGTGAACCTTTTCCCACACTGTTCACACCAGTACGGTTTCTCTCCAGTGTGAACTCGTTGGTGGACTTTTAGGTGATCTGATCGAGTGAAAGTTTTCCCACACTGTTCACACCAGTACGGTTTCTCTCCAGTGTGAACTCGTTGGTGCTCTTTTAGGTGACCTGATCGAGTGAAAGTTTTCCCACACTGTTCACAGCCGTACAGTTTCTCGCCAGTGTGAACACGTTGGTGGGTTTTTAGGTGACACAATTGAGTGAAAGTTTTCCCACACTGTTCACAGCCGTACAGTTTCTCGCCAGTGTGAACACGATGGTGGGTTTTTAGGTGACACAATTGAGTGAAAGTTTTCCCACACTGTTCACAGCCGTACAGTTTCTCGCCAGTGTGAACACGTTGGTGGGTTTTTAGGTGACCTGATCGAGTGAAAGTTTTCCCACACTGTTCACAGCCGTACAGTTTCTCGCCAGTGTGAACTCGTCGGTGGATTTTTAGCTCACCTGATGTTTTGAAGGATTTGTCACAGTGCTGACAGCTGTGACGTTTGAGTCCCTCTCTTCTTGTCCTCTATATCAACAGAAAGAAAAACAGTGAGATATAGAGCGAGCTATCAAAAATCATAAATGACATTAGAGCACATCATTGAAATCACATTAACCTACTGTACCACATACTAAGTATGTACTGTCTATCACACTCAGTCATACACAATCATGATCTTGATCTCTGATGAATCTTCAAATATCCAGATCTTGAGAAGGATTGGTCACAGTGCTGACAGCGGTGATGTTTGAGTCCATCTCTCCTTCTCTATATCAACAGAGAGAAAAACAGTAATGGTGGAGCGACCTATCTAAATATACACATATATACACACACATTTTCAAGTGGCCTGTTATTGTGACCAGCCTAAGGCACACCTGTGTAATACCCATGCTGTCTGATCAGCATCTTGATATGCCACACCTGTGAGGTGGATGGATTATCTCGGCAAAGGAGAAGTGCTCACTAACAAAGATTGACAGATTTGTGAACAATATTTGAGAGAAAATAAAATAAATAAGCATCCGATTAAATTCACAAAATAAAATAAAAATAAATAAAAATATTTAGACAGTAATTACATTATACAAAGCTTTTAATTAGCTTGTATCCAAATTGGGCCCAATTAGCCATTTCCCCTCCCCGCTGTCATGTGACCTGTTAGCGTCTCAGGTGTGAATGGGGAGCAGGTGTGTTAAATTTGGCGTTATCGATCTCACACTCTCTCATACTGGTCACTGGAAGTTCAACATGGCACCTAATGGCAGGAAGTCTGAGGATCTGAAAAAAAGAATGGCTGCTCTACATAAAGATGGCCGAGGCTATAAGAAGACTGCCAAGACCCTGAAACAGAGCAGCAGCACGGTGGCCAAGACCATACAGCAGTTTTTGTCTTGTTGGGAAATAGACATACGAGTCCAGATCTAAACCCTACTGAGCATCTGTGGGGCCTCAAACGGAAGGTGGAGGAGCGCAAGGTCTCCAACATCCACCAGCTCCGTGATGTTGTCATAGAGGAGTGGAAGAGGACTCCAGTGGGAACCTGTGAAGCTCTGCTGAACTCCACGCCCAAAAGGGTTAAGAAAGTGCTGGAAAATAATGGTGGCCACACAGAATACTGACACTTTGAGCCCAATTTGGACATTTTTTCCATTTTTTTGGAAATTTTTACTTCTTCAGTTTTGTCTCATGAAATTAAATAATCAAATATTTACAATAAATGTAAGATTCTGTATGTTATAGAACCTGCTCCTCTCCCATCTCCGCCATGTCTTTGTCGTCCCCAGTTTCAGAGGCCAGTGACCTCCTTCAGGAGTAACTACGTGACGTCGGGTGTAACTTCCCAATTAACCCGTACTACGAAAGTTGGATAGGCGTTACCCGAGGTTTGTTGCCACCGCAATTCACTCACATAAACTGCTCCGAGCTGGTTTTGTTCGTGATTAACTCGAGGTTACCATGTATTCGTGGGCTGCACCCCATCTGTACACTTAATTATCCTAAGTGTATTCACATATTTAAATTGACTATTTTACATGTCCTAAAAATAGGGAGCCAGGGTGGGGGTTAATAAACCGGGAAAAGAAATCCTAGATCAAAGTGTCAAATTTACAAGGAAACAAATTCCCTGAAAGTAAAGTCACAAAAAAAATCACTGTGTTGTCTTCTGAATACGCTCAATCCACAGCAAAGTCTTTATAGGGCATGATAAATGTGTGACTATAATGTCAGAGAATATTCAAGTTTTTTACTTGTAGATTAATCTTGGAAATTAAATTCTCCGCTGGCTCCTTTTTCCCCCCTATTACAATGGACCTTATGTGCGGTTGTACCTTCAAATCTTCATCATATTACACAAAAGAGTCCATAAAATACATAAGAGATTTGAACTACAATAAGAACACTGTAGAGATCATTTACATATTTACTTAATGCGATGCCAACAAGCCTCCCTGGCTTTGTCGGCCACCACGATATTAGATTTAGCCGTTAACTTGTCTTTACAGTCATCATATCCTGACACAATCATTCATTCTTCTGGAGAAATATGGAGCATGCAAATGCGAATGCAACTACTATTAAAAAGGTCCAGTTAGTAATATTTCTGATGCTCTATTGACAGAAATGCAATATAAAGATCCATAACTATGTTTTCAGTGGTTTATAAAGACCTCATATAATGAACCGTTATGTTTTTATTACCTTAGAATGAGACATTTATATCTACATAACCGCGGGCGCCCCCTGCTGTGGAGGTCGCTGTATTTTGTTGTCATGTTCTGTTTGTCAGACTTTAGCGATGCAAATGAAAACGGTTGTTTGAGAGCTTTAGCTAGTAGCTGGTCCTGAGACAAACAGCTGATGAATATTACTGGCAATAAAACGGTAACAGCAGGAAAGCTCAGATCAGCAGCTAAACTTCACATTTTACTGCCCTGGTGGAAAACATGCATTTGTTTTTACTGCTAATGGTGATATTTAACAAGACTGTAAGTAACAAGTAACCAATAATGAATACTTTCCGAATTTGCATTAAAAAAATAAACTTATTGGATATTGCTTCCCACGGTGCGCACAAGTGTGTAATTTGTACTTTCACATGCTAAATGCCCATTAAAAACGCTGCACCGTTTTACCACAAGCTGAAATTCAGTCAGTACGACTGTGTTTCTGTTGCATTTCAAAAAGACATTTTGGTAATATTTGCATGCATATCTAATGATCCTCCCCAGCCAATGCCTTTGTAAACTTTATGTATTATGTGGTTTATAATGGGCTGTGGTGCAGAAACCGTGAGGCTCACATTGTCCTGGTATCAGTGGTCATACTGGATGCACAGATGTGATCATTTGAGAATTTCTTCATTTTCTTCTATGTTAGTCCAGATGAGCCAACCCTCCCAAGATGTAAAATAATATAATACAGGAGTGTGAGACATCATGTAGCACTTCATTTCTTCATGTGGCTGTTTTTTTTATTAATGAGAGAAGTAACAATAATGTTCAAAAAAACATTTGGTTTTACATAACATGTAATTTCTTAATAAACCTCATTTTCTTTTATCTCATAGATGACATCTTTGTCCCGTCTGAGGCATGGCTGTTTTCAGATGCTGGGAACATTGTCACAAAAAAGAAAAAGAAAAGAGCAGGCTTGACCGCAGGACATGTAGACATGCTCACGTTCCTCCATAGCTTAGCTAACTTGGCTAATGTGGCTAGCAGGCTCTGCGATGTTGGACTAACGTTGTAATCCTAAGGAACAGGTCAGGTTTAAGGTTAGCTAACTGTTCAGCCCCAACATATTACCGTGGAGGAAATTACTTCACCTCGACACCTTCACAATACTTGTGTAGTCAGTCCAAAACTCAAAATGATTAAAATAGGAACTATGAAATGTTTAGAACAAAAATGATTAATACTATATGTTGAAAATGTCCTTGATCCACAGTGGGAGCCCCAACCCCTGCTGTCATCAAGGCATTAAAATGTGTAGCCAGCAACTACAACACAAAACACCATTCATAGTCTGAAATGTGTAGCCTGCTCTCTCTCTCTCTCACAGCTTGGCATACATGCGTAGGGAAGGTTCTGCCATCCTACTGTAGGGTTATGTGTACAATATACAGTACGTTGAAATATTTGAGTCTCTCCTCCTCTAACACTCATTATCTCACTGCAAACTTTTGATAAAACTTGAACCCTGTCTAATGAAAATAGGGGTCACTGCATCAGTTAGAGTCTCTGGTGAGAAAAAGGCACCGTGGAGGAAAGTCCCACAGAACAAACTTCAGAAGAGGATGTGTTGAAAAGCTGAGCAGCAGTGGAGGAAAACTAAACTCCAGACTGACTCTGATCTCTACAAAGAGTCTCCACAGATACTATTTAGAGCTGAAACCTGCACGACGATCATTCAGAGAACAATAATGCAGGCAGACTGTTTGTCACTGAGAGAAACTCACCAACACACGAGCAAATATAATGACTCTGCTTCATTTTCACCATCATTGTTTGTTCTGCGCGCTCCCGACACAACGCGGGCCGCACCGCGCATGCGCCGCGCGGGAAAACCCACAGCACAAAGAAAAGAGAAACGCCATCTTGAAGATGAAAACAGGAACCACGGAGACACTTTGGAAATCAAACCACGTCAACACAAACCCTGGAGCGGGTTTTCAGGCTCTGATCTCTAACAACAGAATGAACGGATGATACACGGACCCTCGAGACTCTTCCTCGTGTCTTTAGTCTCGTGATGAAGTCATGAACACTGACCTGAACATCGGCGCTATCAGAGCACGAGGCTGCTGTTTGGCTCCTGCGGTCCGGGTTCTGGTTCTCCATCGTCCTGCAGGTCTCCGCTGTGACTGGTGGACCGTGTTGTCCTGGACTGAGTCTGGATTCTGGTCTCGGAGCTCTTCAGGCTGAGATACAGGAGCGCTGCGGGATCCCGCGGAGTGTTCTCGCGATGTCACGGCGTCTCGCCCCGCCCCTTAGTTACTGTCGCTAAGGCCGTTTAGAAACATGGCTCCTTGATTTCAGGCAGAAGATGAAGTTTAGTTAGTTGGTTTCCTGAAACCAGCTGATCATATTTGATGTGTATGAGGGAGTGTGCTTCACACAGAGCAGAGTTTTAATGAAGCGCTTGTTATTATCACATCAGAGGCTCATGAAAATATCCTGCTGAAGCTTTTTGTACAACAAAGACAGAAATAACTTCATGTGTTACATTTAATGTTGAATTTACAGGAAGGCAGAATCATTAAGAATTAGTCGTAGACAGCGTTTCACAAAGTTTCTAAAGTGTCCTCTAACTCAACAAGTCACTAAACTGCAGGATTGTTGAAGGGAGTCTGGGACTTTCTCCCCGGGCCACAAAGGAGTAGCTATATTACGGTTACTGTTTAAATGGTGAAATCAGATGAAACAGACAGTTTGTTCACAAACATCTGCTGCTTCTCTCGGCAGCTAAGAGAGTCCAAACACATCATTAACATCACAGTGAAGCTGTTTGTTCACTTAACGGGCCATCGTGTGTTTGTCCAGGTCGGCTCTCTATTCAAATGGGGATCAGCTGCTTGAAAAGGCGACTGATGCGCATTTTCACCTCTCTTCAGGTGATCAGCTTGAATAGGAGGCAGAGAGCTGAACATGTGGACATCAGCTGGCTATTCAGCTGCATTAATGAGCAGCCCAAACAGATGCAAACACAAAGCCACTGAAGGAAAACTGTGTGTTGTGAATGTAGCCTGCAAACCTCTTTAGTCTCCGTTAATACAGAAGAAATTAGAAATATAACAACAACATGTTGATGTGATGCTCACTTAATAAATAAATACTGGTAGTTGGGAATAATATTTGGGGAGGATCTCTTCTCTGTGGCAGCAGCAGGTATTAAAAGCACAAACAGAGAAACACAAAGGCCTATAAATGTTTACATGTTGTTTAATTTGACCTGACAGTCACATGTCTGTGATCATATTCTGGCCACAGATCTTCTGCTGGTTCCAGACTTTTATTGTGGAAGTTTGTCTTCATCACTACACAGAGCCCAAAGGATGAGAAAGGACAGTACCACCCAGCCACAGTTGGTTCATCCTGCTGCTGTCTGGGTAGAGATCTGCTGTCGCAGCACCAGCTTCTTCCCCCAGACTGAAAGACTTTGTAGTTTCCAATACTTATGCATTTGACTCATAGCAGTTCAAAATAGTACTGTAGCAGCAGGACTGAGGGTCAGTGACCTTCTACGGAGAAGAGCAGTGATTGGTGGTTATGTATCGACTGAACCCTTCTATAAAATTTGACCTCTCACCCCTTGTTTTGTTACCTCAAGATAGCACTGTACCCTTCTATGGGTTTGACCTTTTACTATGCAGACTCAAACTATTCTATGGTACCCAACAGATACCTAAACACATCCTATATAAGCTGTGTTTGATGTACAGAGAGACAGAGTGGCCATCGGGCTGGGTCTCTCTCCAAGCTGCTTCCATTTCCAATCAGCAGATACAGCCAGTGCCACATGTGAGCAAAAATCCCCTTGAAACAGCTGAGATTGGGCAGGACAAACAGAATAAGCAGCAGCCTTGCTTGTCCAATAAACAGGCTGTAAGCACAGTGGCAGACACACTAGATGGCGCCAGAGCCCACTCAGACATAACTTAGTGCCTCCTGACTGTATTTCACCATTTGAAATGGAAACTGCAGTCTCGTAACTTTTAACCTCTCTGGATGTTCGGTCAGAACAATGCAAAAATAAATAATAAGATCGCATCCCATCAAGTTAATGGGACAGTTCTCTGCTTCACTGTGTGTTATTGCAAGCATTATTTTGTCATAGTCAGTTAAAGGTTGAGACTCACTCACTGATGTGTGCGACAGGCCGGCCCTTCCCCAGGGTCCACCCAGCCTCCTCTCCACCCTCTCAGTCAGATTTTACATGTCCACTCTTTCTCCACGTCTGAGGATTCGGACAATCCGCCCGCTGATGTCCAGTTTTTCTGCAAATTGTGGGAGACATTCGTATCTTAACCGCCGTTAACCCCTCTCTCTAAGCACCCTCTCCCACAGCCCCCTCATCGTTGCCGGCCAGAGAGAGGTTCTTTTTCTTGGCTTAGGTCGGTGAGGGCTTTTTAGATCCTGTGATTTCTGGCTTTATCCGGCTCAGGAGATCTTCACCGTCACACGTGCTAGGAAGGCCTCATCTCTGACAGTACTTCAACCCGGTTCTCCAGTCAGCCCCTGCTTGATCGTCGTTGCTCCTAACCTGGTGCCGCCTCATCATTCAAGCTCCTGAGTAATCTGTGTCATCACTGTTTCCCTGTACTTTGTTTTACCTGCGTCTTTCCCTGTCTGTCTGTCTTCCCTCCAGGTTCAGTCACCTCCGTCCTCTGTTCTGTCGGCTGGGCTCACCACCCTGCCCTCTCCCCTCGGACCTCCTCCACGGCGTCCTCCCGGCTCTTCCCCGTGCCTAGCCAGTCAGCCTGCTATTGTTATTGAATAACCCAGAATATGATCACGGTGTCTTTGGATTCATTAGACTATATGTTGAAATTATATAACTCATATCTAATTTTACTTTAGCTCAGTATTAGGCTTTCTGTTTATTTCCTCTTCTGATATACTCCATACATTTTATTTAAGTCCAATCACTCGTCATCAATCGATCACTGCGTTCAATCACATCAATCCAACCATTTTTTTTAGCACAGCAGCTTTCATTTATTCTTTCATCAGCTGATTTCACCCACAGAGCCGCCGTTTGCTTTGATCAGAAGTAGTCGGTGAGATGGCTGGATGTGCAGGCTTTATTTTCCTTTGCTTGCTTCATTAGAGACTTTAATGCAGTTTTAGCCAAAATTGAAGCAACTCTCTTTGTGTCCTGAATGATGAGACCACGATCGACGGACCCGATTTAGTACAAAATAGAAGAAATGGACACAATCTGGAAAGAGCGTTTACACTTTTTGTTGAAAATACTTGTTGCTTGAGTGTTTTACATTAATGTATTACTTTGAAAAAAATATTTTCACCTATATGTATACAAAGTGTATAATAAATACCAAATACGTATATCAAAAAATTTAATATGGTTTAAAAAGCTGGAACCAGGTCCCAACATGCAACACAGAGTGACGTATGGCGCAAAGTAACTTCATATTTCCATTAGCTAAAATGCATCATAGATAAATATCTTAATCTCTCCAATACTATCAACATCTGAAGAAATAAAAACAAAAAAAAACTTGCCTTTGTGATATTTATTAAAGTAAGAACAACAGAGTGAATCAGCTGAAGGGCAGAGCTCATACACCAGAGAGTCTGACCCAGAGAAACAGAGAAGACATTTAATGCTAGAGAATAATTGTGGAGTCCAACAGAAAAGCCTTTCTCAGCCTTGAACCACAGTGGAAACTCCTTTCTCACAGGAAAGCATGAAACAAAACAATCTCACAGAAGGTCATTATATCAAAACACTGGTACACTTTGTGGAAATTATAACACCACATAAGATGAGCAAAGAACATAAAGTAATGACATATAGAGGATTATTAAAAGTACAAACAGGTCAAATCTATTCGTTTCTATTACAGTTTCCCCTCTGGCCGTCCCATGGTCACATTAAGTTTATAACAAACTGTCAGTTAATCAATTAATGCTCTCATCTTACTGTTTAAGCAGACACATCATTAGCAGTGTCCTGGTGTCTCTTTCAATTATTTTGTTGTTCCTCAGATGCCTTTTTTGGAGGAGGATAGTGACCTTGTTTGTGTAAAAGCACTCGCGGAGGTCCTTCCGTTTCGTTCAAATACAAGATTTATTACTAAAAAAAAATACCGACAAATTCTCCATGGTTGACTTTCAACAGAAGCTATGAACTTAAACTCTTCAGATAATATTACTATACGCTTAAAAAACTAATCGGTTTCAGTCACTCTCTCTCATTATACCTGTGAAATGACCTGGTGAGGAAGAGTCAAGGTAATCATTTTTACCAGTTAATAGGTATTTCAAAAGTTTCCTAACTCAAAATCCATAGTCTATATGTCTTGATCTCAAAATTTGGATACGTGATGCCAAGGGTAGCCAGTGAAGGTCATGAAGTACCGGAGTAATGTGAACAGAACGCCTGGTGGAGGTGAGAACTCTGCTGAGTTTTGATTAATATGGAAACCATCAATATAGAAGGACTGGTCCACCCTTTTGACTGAGGCAGCAGAGCCGATCACTAACATCTCAGTTTTATTGTCATTTAATTTGAGGAAGTTAAGGGACATCCAATGCTTGATGTCCCTGATACATGCATTGAGTGAGTCAGGCAGGGATGGCCTATCGGAGCTGGTGGTGAAATAAATTTGGATGTCATCAGCATAGCAATGGAATTGAAGTCCATGCCTGCCTATGATGTTACCAAGTGGGTGTATATAGATGAACAATAGTGGACCAAGAACTGAACCTTGAGGAACACCCTGTGTAAGTGAAATCGTGGCAGAATTATGACCTTGTATGCTGATATAATATTTCTGTCGCTAATATAGGAAATAAGCCAGGAAAGAGCGGAACCAGTGATGCTGATATCAGAAAGCCGAGAAATAAGTAGTTCATGGCAGAATGGCAGTTTATCAACCCTGAATCCATGGACAAAAGAATGTCGTTAACAACACGCAGAAGAGCAATTTCAGTGCTATGAGATGGGCAAAAACCTGACTGAAAAGGTTCAAAAAGACCATTTATATCCAAATAAGATCACAATAGTGAAGCAACAACCTTTTCAAGGATTTTGCTTAAATATTAAATTGGATATTGGTCTGTAATTGTCCATGTTTAGATGATCAAGGCCAGGTTTTTTAAGAATGGGGCTACAGAGAGGAATCATAACGGTCATCAATGTGATTTGAAAGTAATAAAAGCACAATGTTAATTCCATATTATACCATTAGTATAATATTATAATTTCATATGGTTTACCACTAGTATAAGCCTAATATTATTTCAGTGGGTTATTAAATCAATAAGTCATATTGATTTAATCATATTATTAAATTGTGCAAGAAGCACAGTCTACATCTTTTACAGGCCTACTGCCACCGGCTTTACCAGAGGAGAGACCTCTTATTTCAGCTGATAAACAATCGGTATGAGTATTTAGTAGTGTTGTTGATGGATTCAGGTCCAAATCTCATTTTACAGTCAACCATGTGAATTCTACATCTAGTGCTATAAAAATGCAGAGACTGCCCTCTACTGGTTGAAACCTGGCTACTGCAGTTTCACTATTGGCTGATAAAACCTCCAGACTGACGCTTTCCAGCTCTTTCCAAATCAAACTTCCTCAGCTGTCATCACATGACGTTAATCCAGCACAGTCACATGATAACAGGTGGTGGTATTTAGGGCAGAAGGAAACAGCTAGCTCGGCTCTGTGAAAAATGTCACAGTGACGCATTGTGGATGCATTTGTGTCTTCTAAGGTTTCTCCTGTCGGTAAAAGATTTGCCACATTGGCCACAACTGTACGGTTTCTCTCCAGTGTGAACACGTTGGTGCTTTTTTAGGTGAGCTGATTGAGTGAAAGTTTTTCCACACTGTTCACACCAGTACGGTTTCTCTCCAGTGTGAACACGTTGGTGGATTTGAAGTTCACCTGATGTAGTGAATGTTTTTCCACACTGTTCACACCAGTATGGTTTCTCTCCAGTGTGAACTCGTTGGTGGAGTTTTAGGTTACTTGATCGAGTGAAAGTTTTTCCACACTGTTCACACCAGTACGGTTTCTCTCCAGTGTGAACTCGTTGGTGCTCTTTTAGGTGACCTGATCGAGTGAAAGTTTTCCCACACTGTTCACAGCCGTACAGTTTCTCGCCAGTGTGAACACGATGGTGGGTTTTTAGGTGACACAATTGAGTGAAAGTTTTCCCACACTGTTCACAGCCGTACAGTTTCTCGCCAGTGTGAACACGTTGGTGAATTTTTAGTTTACCTGCAGTAATGAACGTTTTCCCACACTGGTCACAGCTGTACGGTTTCTCTCCAGTGTGAACTCGTTGGTGGAGTTTTAGGTTACCTGATCGAGTGAAAGTTTTCCCACACTGTTCACAGCCGTACAGTTTCTCGCCAGTGTGAACACGATGGTGGGTTTTTAGGTGACACAATTGAGTGAAAGTTTTCCCACACTGTTCACAGCCGTACAGTTTCTCGCCAGTGTGAACACGTTGGTGGGTTTTTAGGTGACCTGATCGAGTGAAAGTTTTCCCACACTGGTCACAGCTGTACGGTTTCTCTCCAGTGTGAACTCGTTGGTGGATTTTTAGCTCACCTGATGTTTTGAAGGATTTGTCACAGTGCTGACAGCTGTGACGTTTGAGTCCCTCTCTTCTTGTCCTCTATATCAACAGAAAGAAAAACAGTGAGATATAGAGCGAGCTATCAAAAATCATAAATGACATTAGAGCACATCATTGAAATCACATTAACCTACTGTACCACATACTAAGTATGTACTGTCTATCACACTCAGTCATACACAATCAGTAAATAAATGATCAGTATGTTATTACCATCAATGCCTGACTGTTCACACTGAAGTACTCAAGCAAATTGTGTAAAGGCTACCGTTTGTTTTTCACGTTTGAGCTATAGAAGAATCAGGAATTAAGGTAAAACCAGCAATTTAGATTTCCTGTAGAAAATTTGAAAAGACAGCTGGAATTATTTTGAAAGCATTGCAGGAATTGCACAAGAGTAGGGATGGGGATTGTTCATTTTTATTGATACCCTTATTGAGACTGCTTAACAATCTGATTTTTTAGCAATACATCTATCAATACTCATCAACAATCATTTGGTAATGGTTATTTGGTAAGACCAGACACAACAGGCATGAGGTAAGCCTGCACAGTGTGAGGACAATATTCAATATGCGATAATATGTTTGATATTGAGATGACATGGCTTGCGATAAATAAACATATATTGAAGTGTGCATATTAGCTGCCTGGTTGTTTTTACATTCATTTTTAGGATTAGAATTTAGTGTTTTAAATACAGCTAAATGTTGTTTCTACAGCAGCAATATTAATGTTTGCAGCAGCAAAGTATATACATTTTCAAGTGGAATTTTATTGTGGCCAGCCTAAGGCACACCTGTCCACTACCCATGGTGTCTGATCAGCATCTTGATATGCCACACCTGTGAGGTGGATGGATTACTGGGCACATACTGAATACGTTGTACATTACATAGAGGGCACTGGAAGTCAAACATGGCACCTAATGGCAGGAAAGAATGGCTGCTCTACATAAAGATGGCCGAGGCTATAAAAAGACTGCCAAGACCCTGAAACAGAGCAGCAGCACGGTGGCCAAGACCATACAGCAGTTTTTGTCTTGTTGGGAAATAGACATACGAGTCCAGATCTAAACCCTACTGAGCATCTGTGGGGCCTCAAATGGAAAGTGGAGGAGCGCAAGGTCTCCAACATCCACCAGCTCCGTGATGTCGTCATAGAGGAGTGGAAGAGGACTCCAGTGGGAACCTGTGAAGCTCTGCTGAACTCCACGCCCAAAAGGGTTAAAGTGCTGGAAAATAATGGTGGCCACACAGAATACTGACACTTTGAGCCCAATTTGGACATTTTTTCCATTTTTTTGGAAATTTTTACTTCTTCAGTTTTGTCTCATGAAATTAAATAATCAAATATTTACAATAAATGTAAGATTCTGTATGTTATAGAACCTGCTCCTCTCCCATCTCCGCCATGTCTTTGTCGACCCCAGTTTCAGAGTCCAGTGACCTCCTTCAGGAGTAACTACGTGACGTCGGGTGTAACTTCCTAATTAACCCGTACTACGAAAGTTGGATAGGCGTTACCCGAGGTCTGTTGCCACCGCAATTCACTCTAAACTGCTCCGAGCTGGTTTTGTTCGTGATTAACTCGAGGTTACCATGTATTCGTGGGCTGCACCCCATCTGTACACTTAATTATCCTAAGTGTATTCACATATTTAAATTGACTATTTTACATGTCCTAAAAATAGGGAGCCAGGGTGGGGGTTAATAAACCGGGAAAAGAAATCCTAGATCAAAGTGTCAAATTTACAAGGAAACAAATTCCCTGAAAGTAAAGTCACAAAAAAAAAAAAAAAAAAAATCACTGTGTTGTCTTCTGAATACGCTCAATCCACAGCAAAGTCTTTATAGGGCATGATAGTGATTGTGGGTTAAACTCACAAGCATTTCCTCACTGCTAAATCTGATCTTTCCACTGCATGCATAATACAGAGGTGTGTGTGTGATGCTGCAGCCTTGCAAAGTGAAGTTTCTCTCATAAATGTGTTTTCGTCAATGGGTGTGTCCGTGGCGTGGCGTCAGAGATCAAGTCTTCGCCATGACACAGGAAGTTGTTGTAACTTCAGTGTACATGCTCACATCTGAACCAAACTTTACGTGCTTGATAACTCTCCCACCCCGCTATGGAGGACCGATCCTGACACAGCCAGAAATAAATACAGAAATAAATAAATGCTCAATAAATAAATAAGCATCCAATTAAATACACAAAAATATAAAGTAAATAAATAAATGTAGGTAGTAATTAAATTATACAAGGAGACATAATGTTTATATTTTAATTAGTGCCTTTACTTATTCACCTTTGTTATAATTACCTTATTTGTTTATTCAACTTATTTATTACTAATTTTTTAATGTATTTATTTATGTGTGTGTTTTAATATTTTTGTCTGTTTTATTCTTCCTTTGTATTTATTTACCTTATTTATTTTCACCCATGGTATTATTTCTGCCTGTCTTTTTAAATTTTTGTATGCATTTCTGCCTCATTATGCAAATGAGGAGGGGCTGTGTCTCAAGGGGTCATCTTCTCTGCTATTGGTGGACCAGTCAGACAGGAGAGCTCTTACTCTGCCTGCAGACATCAACGATCTTGCCCCTCACACAGTCAGATGGCTTCCTTCAGTGCGCTGAGGTGTTTAACAACTCTGAAGACACTACTACCAGCAATGTCTTCCTTCTCGTTTCACGTAGACGCTCCGACAGACAGTGCTTTCAGTTTGCTGCATGCATGGACACAGAACTGCGGTATAGAGAGAAGCACACGGTCAGCTGGCTGCAGCTAAATCTGGAGTGCACTCGTATTCAATTCTGTATGGTAAATTCAGTTTTAACAGAGCAGAGCGAGCTGACAGGCAGAGTTAGAGACTTTTTCTGTCTGTTTCTCTCTTTACAAAGACGCATGTTGCAGTCAGAGTCTTCTCTGAGATGCGAGCACGACATACAACACAATTTATCAAATTACACAACGGATATACAGTATGAAAATAAGATTGATTGGATTATACTCACAGGAAGTATAAAACCTGTTACATGCGTCTATTAAAAGTAAAGTAACACAAAAATGTCAGGGAAATTACTTAGATTTAAGTACTGCAGTTGTACATTTGAAATACCTTCCTACCTTTCTGATAGGAAGCCTTCTTGAGGTGGTATAAAACATTTCTTCTTATATTTTGATTTGAGTTGTGGACAACTATGACCACATGAATTTAAAAAACATTTCACTGCCCAAGTCAGCTATAACACAAGTCTTGTTCATTAGACTACATGCTGTACAGTATTTGTGGACAGATTTTGTCCCAGGATTTATTATGCATTTCTTCTTCTTCGTTGCATGATTTTGAATAATAAGGTGAGAAATGGGTCTATTCTGAGTTCATCCTGCACTGCAGCAGCTAATAAAGTCCATTTAATCCCAAAAACGCTTTTCTTTTAGGCAGGCTGGAGCAGAAAACAACTCACCTTTCTCAAGTTGTACAGTAATGTCACATGTGTATGAAGGTGGATCAAACAAGCTAATCTTAAATGTCAAAGTAGAGAGGAGCCTAGTAGGCCTATTTATTTTCATTCATTACACAATATGAATAAGCTATGCAGACAGTTGTAAAGAAAGAACATCTTTTTCTTCTGTTCTCTACTTGTTATAGTTACACAGTATTAGGGGTGTGGGCTGTATTAAAAGTATCCACTGTTCTCCCATGCTCTAACACACAGTAACGATGAAATGTGTGCTGTTCTCACATTCTTCCTCTGTATGTACACATAAACAACAAGGCAGGGAAATATAAAAGGAATTTATTTTATTGTTTGGGTACATTATTGTTCAGTGTACATGCTCACATCTGAAACAAACTTTACGTGCTTGATAACTCTCCCACCCCGCAGACATCTACACACCAATACCGATTTATATTCATAGCGGCAAGTGCTATGTAGCTCCACATAGGGGACACAGGAAGTGACATATAGCACCTTCATGCGGCGTCGGAACCGCGTAGGAAATTCACAGCCGCACCGGCAGAGCTCCAGAATATGCAACTCGGCCGGTTCACGCGCGGACGCGCTACAAGTGCGAGGGCCCGCCCAACGCTGCTTGCAGCTTTAATTTATTTTTATTTTTTTTCTGCAAAGTAAGCTCAAGTTTGGGGGGCTAAACATACTTACCAGACTTTGCACACATGTCAGAAGTGGTGAAAAATTTCGTATTTTATGGGTTTCGCGCATGAGCGTGGCAAAATGACTCGCTAGCGCCACCTACAAAATTGGGAAAAATGATCCCCTCATCCACGTTCAACCTACATGCACGAAATTTTCTGGGGACATGTATCACATCAAGACACAAAAAAGCCTCAAGAACTCATACCCTAAAGTCAACAGGAAGTTTCATACATGTAGGTCAAACGTTTGTTTTATTTATAAAATCTGGCTTCCAACAGGAGGAGATCTAGGGATGCACCGATTGTTCGGCCACCGAAATTAATCAAAATAAGTCAAAAGATCGATTAAATTTTACAGAACAATTACGTTGATATGTCGGCAATGTGGAAGCATTTTAAAATGTTGCACAAAGACGCAAAAATGGCCGTTTACAGACACTGTTCTGCTGAGTTGTCTCCTAGCACATCCACTCCATCTGTGGCTGACTTCTTAGAAAAACTGAACACTCTGACCCGCTTTGAGTGTTTCTGAGAAGACAATTAAGCTAGCCGCAACTACATTTGGAGTGCACACGTATTCAAGCCTTTATGGTAACTCAACGGCCCAGAGCGAGCTGACCGGCAGGTTAGAGACTTTGTCCTGTCAGTTTGTCTCTTTACAAAGACAAGTGTTGCAGTATGAGAGAATCACCTACAACTTTATTTATCATATTGGGTTGAACTTGATGAATTTCGCGCGAGGATACACATGTGACAACATCCGGTTTTCAAAATAAGGTGTCTATAGAGTACGGAAATAAAATTACTTAATATGTAATATGTGGATAATATCCACAAAA